ATTGTCTCTGTAATAGGGTTAGTAGTTTATTGTGCCAGAAACGTAAAATGCCTCAACAGTTTACAGTTAATTACAACCAGGTTTGGTGAAAAAAAAATGTTTCAGGTTGCAAAGGGTAAAAAAAAACTGATACGCACTATTACAAAATAAACAGACCTCATATATACAACAATATCAATTTATTATAAATAAATTTAGTATAAACAGTATAAATTCCAAGTACCAATAAACAGATTATTATGTTAACATGAAAGATGACACGTAACAGCACTGGATGTTTAAAATCAAAAGATGGTGACTTATTGATGGGACATAGTAATATATTTAGCAGATAGGCATAGTATATAGGGGAATTGTATGATGATAATAGACCAGATGCAGAACTGCAGACCAACAATGATGGTCCACCAATAATGACTGCAGAAGTTGAGGATGCAATACATCTTATGAATAAAGGAAAAGCACCCGGGCCAGACAAAACCTCACTGGAAGAAATTGAACCGCAGGCAGATTTTGGAATTGAAATAATAACTTAACTTTTAAATGATACTTTTTTAAATGATTACGTACGGAGACATAACATAAACACTTGATGACGACTGCTAAACACTTGATGACGACTGCTAAACACTTTATGACTATTGCTAAACACTTGATGACTATTGCTAAACACTTGATGACTATTGCTGAACACTTGATGACTATTGCTGAACACTTGATGACTATTGCTAAACACTTGATGACTATTGCTGAACAAATAATGACTATTGCTAAACACTTGATGACTATTGCTAAACACTTGATGACTATTGCTGAACAAATGATGACTATTGCTAAACACTTGATGACTATTGCTGAACACTTGATGACTATTGCTGAACACTTGATGACTATTGCTGAACACTTGATGACTATTGCTGAACAAATGATGACTATTGCTAAACACTTGATGACTATTGCTAAACAAATGATGACTATTGCTATACACTTGATGACTATTGCTAAACACTTGATGACTATTGCTGAACAAATGATGACTATTGCTAAACACTTGATGACTTTTGCTGAACAAATGATGACTATTGCTAAACACTTGATGACTATTGCTAAACACTTGATGACTATTGCTATACACTTGATGACTATTGCTAAACACTTGATGACTATTGCTAAACACTTGATGACTATTGCTAAACACTTGATGACTATTGCTAAAGACTTGATGACCATCGCTAAACACTTGATGACTTGCTGAACAAATGATGACTATTGCTTTACACTTGATGACTATTGCTAAACACTTGATGACTATTGCTGAACAAATGATGACTATTGCTATACACTTGATGACTACTGCTAAACACTTGATGACCATCGCTAAACACTTAATGACTATTGCTGAACAAATGATGACTATTGCTAAACACTTGATGACTATTGCTAAATACTTGATGACTATTGCTATACACTTGATGACTATTGCTAAACACTTGATGACCATCGCTAAACACTTAATGACTATTGCTGAACAAATGATGACTATTGCTAAACACTTGATGACCATCGCTAAACACTTAATGACTATTGCTGAACAAATGATGACTATTGCTAAACACTTGATGACTATTGCTAAACACTTGATGACTATTTCTAAACACCTGATGACTATTTCTAAACACTTGATGACTATTGCTAAACCTTTGGAAGATAGTACTTAACCTCTCAAACAAACACGAGTGATTTCTCTCTGCACTAATTAAGGGCGCTAACCTACTTTATGTCTTCTAGGCCATTGTGAATATAACCGACAAAATATCTGCAGATAAATAAATAAACAGGGAAATAATTGTAATTGATATACTCCCGGTGCATATTGCAAACATAACTCATGCAGCTTGGATGTAAATGTGGCAGAACTTGAATACAATGCCGCGGTGGCTGCAGGTTCCTACGTCGATGGCAGAATAAAATGCCGCGGTGGCTGTAGGTTCCTACGTCGATTGCAAAATAAAATGTCGCGGTGGCTGTAGGTTCCTACGTCGATGGCAAAATAAAATGTCGCGGTGGCTGTAGGTTCCTACGTCGATGGCAAAATAAAATGCCGCGGTGGCTGTAGGTTCCTACGTCGATGGCAAAAAAAAAATGTCGCGGTGGCTGTCGGTTCCTACGTCGATGGCAAAATAAAATGTCGCGGTGGCTGTAGGTTCCTACGTCGATGGCAAAATAAAATGTCGCGGTGGCTGTCGGTTCTTACGTCGATGGCAGAATAAAATGCTGCGGTGGCTGTAGGTTCCTACGTCGATGGCAAAATAAAATGTCGCGGTGGCTGTCGGTTCCTACGTCGATGGCAAAATCCACCCTTGGATATTATTTTCAGTTGTTGTTTATATCGGTGGTTAGAAGTATTTCCACTGTTTCAAAAGAAACCGATTCTACGTCACCTAGTATGGTTCCTTATAAACACTAAGGCAAAATCCTAGCCAGACTGTATGTACCGCGCATAACAATGGGACCATGACATCTGTCGCTGGTCTAGAGGGTACGAGATGGCCACAGGCCTGCCTATTGCTGTCCACTTCTACCTCGTTCTTTACGTCTAGCATTGGGCTGGTATCTGTTACGCATGCTGATTTGATATGATTCAAGAACCGACATCACAGCACTCGGGGCATTCCCATAAGCACTCCGTCCCCATCTTCAGCAGCCAGCGAAGAGTTCCGATACTAATGGTGCCAGTAGCATTCAGATTTAACGTCCGTCTTGCTGCCTTTCCTCTGAGCCTTGAGTATCTGCCAGAACCTCTCGTCACCCCCAACTGCATCAATCTCACCAGACTGTGGTGATCCATCTGCTCCTCCAAATTGTACACGCTCTCCCACAAAGCACTAACCACGTCTGCCCTATCATGCATCCGTGTTCCACCAAGTTGTGCAGAGCCAGCCAGTCTGTCCGCCTGTTCATTTCCCAACACACCGGCGTGACCAGGTAAAAAAATACCGTACAATACTCCTCACTCGTGTCCTCCGCAGCGAAACATGCCACAATGCACGTAGCATACCTGTTCTGATCTTCCTTAGCATGCTTTCTGAATCAGTGTGTGTGGTGTTCTCTAGCCAGCGGAAAGCTGCAGTGACCGCCTCCACCTCCATTCTTAAGCTGGATGTTGTGGAATCATATGCTAGGCTCTCCTGCACCAAACGTCGACCATTAACTTTTGCTAAGAAACCCCAAGCATTTCTTTTGCCACTTGACAGTGAACCGTCAGTGTAAATGATCAAGTCCTCTGAGCGAGCATTATCTTGAATTAATTGCTGAATTGCCACCATTGTGGCACCTGCTAGCCAGTCTCTGCATTCCCGGCTCAGCGTGATTATGACTCTACACAAGTCTGACTGTTCAGGTGGCACTTTGACCTCATCTCCTCGCCTAATGTTCTCAAGGATGCAAACCTGTCTGATTGTGTCTTCTGCCTGAGCCATCCATGACCTCCCTCTTATCAGCCGCTGACCCTTAACTGCACCCAGAGCTTCATGTAGAAGGTGGTCTGTGTCTGCAGCTACCCTGAGATATGACTTCGCCTGCATCACCTTGTGCCTACCTGCAACCGTCGGCAAACCAAGGATGTATCGCATACACCACTGGGGTGTCTCTGGTGCATCGTATTGTATCGTATCGTATAAAATCAAACAAAAATTCCAAGCTTAGTCCTTTTTTAGCCGCCTGATACACGTCCTAATATACGACCGCCCTTCATTATGTTTTCGTCAATTTCTCAAGTCAGCCTTGAACTGCTGATTCATACCTATTTTGGTGTCGCGTCTTGACTGACTGACTTTCTGCCCCACCAGGACATCACACAGGCGATAAACACCCGATGACACAAAGTGCCACCATGTGGATAAGGATCACCCGTGGAGAGGTCCCAGAAACTGCGTTCAAACAATTGGCCACATTTATGGCCTGCCTATATTACGGCCCCTGGCAAAAGCCAGGGTGGGGCTTCAAATTAAAAAAAAATTATTTCCTAAAACTAACGTAAGAATACTTTATATATATATAACCACATACATGACTTGGGCTAATCATCTAAAAATAAGAAATTTGTGCACCAGGTATGGTGCTGCGCTGTAATGCAACGGTTCCTCCATACATACCTTTAAATAAGAATTTATTTATTGGACCATCTTTCTCCCCTCTAGAGTTGTTATGTGTTTTTTTAATGGTTTATTTTATGTATATTTTGTTTGGTATTTTTATTTCCCTTTCTAAGCATACACAAGGATTATGCCACTTGTTTTATGTTATCGGGTGTTTTATGTTATCGGGTGTTTTATGTTATCGGGTGTTTTATGTTATCGGGTGTTTTATGTTATCAATCTTCTTTTAACTTTTGACAACAGCGGACGGCGACTGAAGAGTTGCGTCCGTGACTTCAGCCTCAAGTGCCAGGGTTGTTGGTTCAAGTAAAGACCTCTTCCAGCGCCTTCACACCTACTGGGCATATAGGGCTAGACCAAATTTTATAGACCAATCAGCACTCAGTGTTTGATATGATCAACATCGCACGCCCGGCCATCTAGCGTAGTTGGCTAAACCGGGATGCGCTGTGACCTGGTGACAAACTCCTTGTGGTCCGGGTTCACTCCCGGGGGTAGGCAGGAAGCCACATTTTCTCCAAGATTTACGGTATTTACAATGAAATCATAATACCGAGCCTAAGGGTTAACAACTCATGGTTTCTGGATACTAAAACAAACACAAACAATCAACATCGCACCAGCCGCCTTTACTTCCTAGGATTTTACCTGGTACTTTTGAAAGGCTGGATCGACCAGGGAGGCAAGGTCAGTTTTGAAAAAAGGATCGGCTCTGTTTAGACTTAAACCCCTGACCTCATGACCGGCAGACAAGCGTCTAACCGCTACAACAGGGCTGCTCTGTGCTGTAGGTTGCTGCTTGTTTTATGGCTTGGTTAGTTGCGTATCCTTTACAGGACACCC